CCGTGTGCCGTATATCCACGTATGTATTCCACACAAGATCCTGTTTTCGTCCCAGATACGACCTTCTGTGCGTTCATAGCTCGACACATTTAATCGCACGCGCAATTTCCGCGGGTACTGTATACACTCTGAACGTGTAACCTCATGTTGACAGGTGGTCTCTGCAAGATTTAGTTGGCATGATTTCGTGGTTTTACAAGGCTTCACAGGTCTCCACTTGATGGCTCGACACGTCGATGGGAAGTAGCAAAAGCGCAAAGCGCCCCCTTCCCCCCCCCCTCCATCGCCGAACTGCACCCGCAACTTCTGCTCTTGTACGGCTTCTTTGGCGCATGAAGGCCGACTTGGGCAAGTATACGGCTATCAGGGCAGCATAACCCTTCGTTTAGTACTAACTCCCTATGAGCGCTCTCAAAGATGCTCACTTTCCTCGAGAAGCTTGTCTGAATCCTCCTTGGAATTCACAACAGAGAGATATTTCGTACTTTCTCGGCGCTCAGCGCAGCTGTTGATGACATGCCGTGAAAGCTATCCGTTCACCTATCAGTTCTGACCTTCGAGCTGTTTCTCACTGGAAATTCCAACTGATCACCTCACCCCGTTGTCAATAATGTATTGAGCGACAAGCTGTGTATCATGGCTTTACGTCAGCGATGCTGCTTGTCAAACGGCTAGAGGATAGGGGGGATCTTGTCGAGAAACAAATAACCAGATGGTTCCCTTCAAAATATTAAATATTTGAATGGTTAGCTCTTTGAACATCTGTCATATATTACGAAACCGAGAAGCTTCAAGTTCATTTCCAAGCAGAACTACATATCCATGAAAACTCTCGGGACTAGCGATGCCAATCGTTTGGAGGCAGACGGCTGGATTGATGGAAAGACAAGGGGAATCGCCACGAAGAGCGTGTCATTTCCCTGAGGATTTCATTTTCGGTCGTCGATTCAATTTAACCTCACGATTGATGTGTTCTCATCAACCAGCCGCATACAGCGGTGTTCTTTCCCTTTTTTGTCTTTGAGAAATAACCATCGATTTGCCATCCAACGGGGACTTCTGGGCTCAGTTCGCCTTTGAACTCTACTGCCTGATATAAGCACGTTGCTATGATACCATCTTACTCAGCGGACCTTTACGCAGACAAAAACAGCTTGACGACGCATTTCTTTCTTGAAGACTTCATAACATTCACTCGGAATGAACGGCGCTATGTGGCTTGGGGGGGGGGCAATTTTCACTTTCGGTACTTTCCGACATGCTCACTGCTTTACAAGAGCTGACGAGTCCTTTCTACGAGTTTTGACTGGTATCACTTAAGGGCTCCACAAGCTTTCACAAACCTCTTCTCGATGGCTTGACAGAACAATGGGAATCAGCAACAACTGCCTCCCCCTAGCCGAACTGTACCAAAAATACTCAGATTATTGTCCAGGTCTACCGCCACTACCGGCAATACAGGCATGTGGCCCCTAAAGGAAGGCACCCAACGTAGCACGCAAGTACCCTTCGTATCCCGGAGATTGGGTGGGCGTGGTTACGTACTCCTTCGAACATGGAGTAGGATGCGTTTCTCGTGGAATATTTCCATTGAGACAACTATCACTCTATTTTTTAGTGGTCAAAGACATAATTACAGTTTCTCAAAACAGAAATACCCCACCAGAACGCAGCCGCCGCCATGTTCAAACGCGGTACACGGCCACGCCCACCTCACTTCTGGGATATCGAGTGTAGGCGTCGTCAAGCTGTCCGCTGATCTTCTGAAGGACAATCCGCGAAGCCCAAACCGTCGAAGGCCTGTATTGTTCAACGGAGTACCATTCTGCTTTGCAGGTGAGAAACACATGGCTCGACATGACGATGGAAAGTAGCGAATGTGCAAAATACTTCCCCCTCCCCTCCCCCACCCTCCCCAAACCGAACTGTGCTAAATGAACTCATACTGGCGCTTAATTAGCAAAATTTATTTTTGGGGTCCAGCCAGCCTTTGAGTGCCTAGAGAAACAACAACACCGTCACAACGGCTGTCGCATGGATCTACTGACGTCTTGTTGATTTCAGATTGACTACGAGGAATTCGTGAAGATGATGACGATGCCATAAGGACGAGTTGTCGCGCACGCTGTCTATAGAATCTCAGCTTTGGCTTCTTCACCACACACACGCACAAACACATACTGTGTACGGAAGTCAACTCATTTCGCGGGTTCTTGCATACATTCTTGTTTGCACGCAAGTTGTACTGCTTCGATTTTTTTCGTGTCAGGTGTATGAAACTTATTATTATTAATTAAGCGGGCGTCTCAAGGTTACATAAATATTTCTAGTTCTCTTTTTTGTGTCTCAGTCACGAACCTTCAACTTTTTTTTCAATTTTAAATTCGACAGATTCGAGATTTATGGAGATTTGAAAAAAACTTCACTAGCAGACACTTGAGTTTGAGTTCTGAAAGTACTAGAAAAGAGATCTATAAAAAGGTCCCCAGCGATCCGAAAAGTGCTCCTTCTTTCAATACAAAACCAGGACGTTTGTCCTCATATCAGCGCGTAATATCTCTTTCCCTTCCCGAGAGCGCAACCCAACGCGATAAAAACAAAAAACCCCGGGCTGGCGTCAAGCCAAACTTACCCGGGACACTCTTTGCGGGTTCTTCAATGGAATGGAAGGAGGGCTATGATTCGGCCCGTGAAACACTTTCCACTTTCCCGTTTCAATATGATCTAACGCCTGCGAAAAGGGTCCTACTGGAGAAGGGGGAATGGGATTTGCCTACAGTTTCTTCGGGATTGTTATGAGGGCTGGATTTGGCGCTGCGCCAGGCTGTTTTTCACCAACTGTTATCTCCTGTCTTTCTGAGGTATTGGTGGAGAATGAGCAGGCGTCACGCCACACTCACCCCAACCCTCCCTCCCAATTCTCACAGGCCTCAG